TCTTGACTAGACTTCTCATGGTCATGCAAGGAAACCCGCATGAATGACTTTGGGCGGCTTGTCTACGTACGCACAGTAATTCGGCCGATGTCGATTGCACCAGGCTTCTGGCATTCGATGGTAGTACCATCGTTCGTGAACCGCAACATGTCCCACAAGCCAAGACCAGATGCCCTACGACCATCCTTCTACCCAAACTCCATTGCCGCCTTCCACGAAAGACCATGAAATGCTTAGATCTCAGTGTCTTGGTTGAGAGGCGTCCCTGTGAAGGGCAGGTAGTGGTACAATGGGAGGCGTGCTCCGGGCTGTGCGGCCACCTTTTATGACACCAGTTGCTTTCCACGATGGCTTGGTAACACTCATTCTCATGACAAGTAGCCTGATCTTCTGAAGTATGGCTGTAGGGTGGGTCCTATGATCATGTTGTATCACCCTATGGCTGATGCTGTACAATGGCGGAGAATGGTGTGGATTTTCCGAGGGCTTGCCCAGTGCGGGGGGGCAGCGACGGTGCTTGCGGCGCTTCAACTTGGTCAGTCTAGTTGGGAAGATCCTGGGGGCTACCGTATGCTCTAAGAGGTGAATTGGATCATTGGATGTTCGTGTTACACGACAGTCCAGCGGGCGGGTGGGTGAATTGGCGGGGAAGGGGAGGCAAGGGGGCGCTGTGGCACACAAGTCTGTTTTCTCGATTGCTAGGATATCTTGGATCTTTTCCAGAAGCCTGTCGTCTCAGCACTCCGCGGCTCGAGCGAGACAACAGGCCTGTCCACCGCTGAGACTTTGCTTGTTCGACATGTGGCCGGTCATTGGTGATAACGTGCAAATTTGACCAGACGCACGCTCTACCCATACAACGGCATATTCTAGACTCCCCTTACAATATCATCACATAGTCGACTCCAAACGATCCGATTTGTCATGTTACCAGAATGTTTGGAAGGTCACTAGACTTAGTACATGCCAAGAAAATCATGTTCTTCGTCATGTTTTCATTCGGGTCAACTCCCGATAACGCAAAGCCCATGATCCTGGCGCTGAACCAATATCAGGCTAGCCGGGCTACATGTAAAGGTATCCTCACCGAAACCAGGAATCGAGCCAGACTGGCTGCATGACGCTTCCCCTGTGTCAGCTCCAACCCCCATGGCACCGATCGACGTGCCGTCCGGCACTCATCCGGGGGTCTCGCGTGTCTGTAACCGAGACGACAGGACGCATCCCTGCCGCTACCGCTGTCCCCTTTCCCCCACCCACTTGCTGAGCATCACATCTTTTCTTCCTGGCAGCAGGCCTAGCAGCTGCCACCCTCCCGGGTCCGAATGCATTGTAGGCGTGCCGCAGGGAGAGAACCGGCACATCTAGTTCTTTCGCAGTGGAGCCGCCCAGGAGGTCCTTGTGGAATGTGTTGCTTGTAAGGGGGAGAAACGGGGGAAATACGTAGAGAGTTCACATCTTGCAGTAAGAGACGTCATTTTGTCGACCACGCATCATGCTAGGGTCACCTGCTGCGGGAGGGGCATGGCACGGGCCGCTTGGGACGACCTAGGAGGGTGTCGCAGTAGCCTCAAGGTGGCGGACAGCAAGCAAGCAACAAGCGACAAGCAACCAGGATTCATTGCCCTCCCTCAGCGACAGTGGCCTTGGTAGAAGGAAGCGGGGGCTGGGCAAGGGAGAGAGACCATCGTCTGAGCTCACTGTACAGGGACTTTCCATCACGTACCAGTACGTTGCTGCTCACCGTGATTTTCCAAGACAGGGAAAAGGCGGTCCGCATTCTTCCGTCCAGAGAACTCATTTCTTGGGTCTTGATGACGGCAATCTCTTGGCTGGACGTTGGCGGCGGGCGGCGTTGGTGAGTGTGAGTTGCCGGGTGTGGAGGCGATAATGGCGGTGAAGGGGGGGCTGCGGGGGGGTAGGGATCCGAGCTCGGCGGTTTTGCCGCCGGTTCGAGGCATGTACTCTTTTTGCCTTGAACCTGTTGATCTCTCATTTCTCTGGTGGGTGATTGTCGTTGGCATTGGATTGCCATAGCCTTGAGAGCAGGAGGGGAGTGGGAGAAAAGAAGGAAAGGGGAGGGGGGTGGGACTGAGCCTATCGAACTCCCACCTGAACACCGGGGAACATCTCGGCGAGAGCCATAACAGAGAGCGGAATTGTCGACACTGATCCGGCCGAATTGGAGGGGGACACATGGATCTTTGGGCTGGGAGATCGCCCATCGACGGGGAGCTCGGAAGAGCCCGAACAGGATGGAGGATGCTTCTTTCCCGGTCAGGACCTTTGGGTGCTCGCGGCTGCTGAACTGATCAACTGCGGTGATGGCGCGCTGGGATCTTGACTCGATAAGAGTCGGAAGAGGGAGGCGAAGCAAATAGGATCGCACAGCCGGAGGCAAGCTCGAGGTTGGTGATCAATATACTTACAAGGTGCAGCATGGGGCGGTCTGTGAGCGGTCTGGGCGCGAAGATCTCGCGTTGGCTGATCTTTCGTGGCTTCTGAGTAGAGATAGGCAGCTCAAGGGCAAAAGACGCCGACACCGCTGGAGCTTCGCACAGGGGTGAAATCACGCGAACAGTGGTTGCGGTCCATCGACTGGCCTTCGTCTCTGGAGTCAACGCTGCCTCACGTTGACTCGTGAACGTACGGAGAGCCCTGGGTGGGAAACAATGGTGATAGAGGCATGAATGGTGCGACGCAAGGGCTGAAGATATGTGGACTCTGCGTAGAGGTACTACTGAGAGTCCATTGAGGTCTCGAATCATCGAGCTATCAGTCGACGCCTCTGCCGAAGACGAAGCTGCTCAACACGGCATCCCCGGAAGGTCCATACACGTGTTTGCCAAGGTATGGTGAGCAACAGCAGCCATCCAACGTGGCGTCGCTACGGAAGAGCTTGCCTAGACCAATATTAGCCAATGTGCTCGCACGCCAACTTCGTGAAGACAGTAAAGCACAGAGAAGAAAAGGTGTCGAACTACATGTACATGGGTCATCGGCTGCGGAGGTCCGAGATCGTAGAATCAGCCCATCGCTGTTGGGACTCAACAACGTTCTCATTAAGATATGTCAAAGAGAAACAAGAGAACTAGACGTTGCAGGCAATTGTTGGACGATGTCAGAATCGAGCTAGTGAGAGGAATCCCAAGAATGTACGACCATGTGGAGGCATAACACATTGATCTACCCTGACTCCAGCTTCAACTGCTTGCTCCCCCATCGAACCCCCACATGCTTTCCCCACGGAACCACCCCCACCAGTTGCCCCCATCTCATCCAACAGTCCATGACGACAATCACGGTTCACGTCTAATTGCCTTCACAACAGCATCAATTTCCAAGCTACCAGGAACGTAGTGGGCGTAGTGCATAAACCAGTCATCGAAATCAATCGTAACAGTCATGTGTGGTCGTTATGCCCTTAATCTGGTCAGTTTTCCGCCTCAATCACGGCCGAATCCTACATGGTCTTGCTTACTGACGTGCATACTCTCACAGAGTCCATCCCAGATCCGCCGGATGCTTCAAGATGAAAACATGCCTGTTGACGATGCCCCGCCCGACGAGGGTGATGAGTCGCCGCGGCAGAGCTACAACTTTGCACCGGGCTATCATGGCATTGTGTACCGCGCAGACACATCTGCCCGCGGCGCCGGGCACCAGCAAGAGGACAAGCACACCTCAGGCCAGGCGCAAGAGGAGGCAGTGGACGCAATCTCCACGCATGAAAAATCGGCCGTGAGATATAAGCTGCAGTCGATGAAATGGGGACTCATTCCCTTCTGGACCAAGAGGAACCCCGACTATGGATCGATGATGAAGACCATCAACTGCCGTGACGATTCGCTGAGTACAGCAGGTGGCATGTGGAGCACCATGAAAGCCCGAAAGAGGTGTATCGTGCTTGCGCAAGGGTTCTATGAATGGCTGAAGCACGGCAAGGAGAAGATGCCGCATCACGTCAAACGAACGGATGGCCAGCTCATGTGCTTTGCAGGATTATGGGATTGTGTTCGTTATGAAGGCTCGTTGTCCCACCGATGTTTCAGACCATTGACCGCTGACAGCGGAACACAGACTCAGATCACGATCATTACACCTACACCATCATCACGACGGACAGCAACAAGCAGCTCAAGTTCCTCCACGATCGTATGCCTGTGATACTCGAACCGGGCTCCGAGGATCTGAAGACGTGGCTGGACCCTGGAAGACACGAGTGGTCAGGCGAATTACAGGCGCTTCTTAAGCCGTTTACTGGAAAGCTCGATTGCTATCCCGTCTCAAAAGAGGTTGGCAAGGTGGGAAACAACTCCCCATCATTCATCATTCCCATCGACAGCAAAGAGAACAAAGCCAATATCGCCAACTTCTTCGCCAACGCCGAGAAGAAGGAGAAGACGACAAAAGCGAGCATCAAGAGGGACGCCGAACATGAGACTGATGATCACACCACATCCAAGGCACAGGTCTTGCCGCAAAAGCAGCCGAACATTGTCATGACAGCTGATGACGGCCCAAAAGCCCTCCCCAAGAGGGCCGCATCTGATGATCTCGAGGATGAGAAGCCACCAATGAAAACGCCTGTCAAGTCGTTACCTCGACCTTCGCGGCCTTCGAAGATTAGCGCCACCAGCAATAAGAAAGGCAGAGTGGTACAATCAGACAAGCAGCCGAACCAGAAGATCACCCGATTCTTCGGCAATAGTGCATAACTGCGACTCGAGCATATAAGGGTGTGTACTGCACCTTGATGGCGTCTATACCAGATGATACCATGAATTCTCAGCTTGAGAATTGGGTTCGCTGTAGACTATTGCCAATTGGTGAGCCGCCTGAAGCCTCAATGTTCGCACCTCCCATGTACCACCCAAGCGGCAAAGCTGGACCAAGGCCTTGGTCCTTAGGGCATCTTAGAAAATGTTCCAAGTATAGGCAAACCATACTGACATATCCTGAAAGTGCCTCCGAAGCACCTAGCCATTGCCCATGAAGTACTACAGCACCTAGCATGTCCACTACGCCAATCAGCATGCAAGTTCATAACTATGTTGCGTCGAACAACTCACAGGCTTTCCTCCCGGAACCTCGTACGAGCTGATGCCCTGGTAAATCTATCTTTGGTTTCAGTACGAATGCCGTAGCGGTTGCCAATTGCGACAACACAGTGAGAGGCACGACTCACATTAGCTGTGTATCCAGGATCAGTCTCCTTGAAAGCACCAGGAATGTCCAACGTGGGGTTGAATCTCCCCGCGTCAGCAGAGCTACCAGTCACTCTAATCTGCGCGCAGCTCGTGTAGCTGAGGTTGATTAGTCGCCAAGCTCCATGTGGACAGTGGATCACATGCGAAAACCTACAATTGCGGGATACCGGCTGGCCACGGGTTATGAATGCCCAGTTGGCTCACCCTGAGGAGGTACTCTCCGTTCGGCAAGCATGTTGGGATCTGCCCTTCGTACATCTCTGTACAGAATCAACACCATCAGCCAGGAAACAGAGCATTGCCTTGGGCTGCGAAACTTACGTCGAAGGGGCCACGTAGGCTGGCCGTTACTGAACGTTGGTCCAATATCCTTGAACTTGAGCCACTTTCCGGAGCCGTCATAGGCGCGAACGGAACTCGGCGCTTTTGACAAGAAGCTGTGCCAGCATTAGCTCACACGATATGGATATTCCTACCAAGCGATTTGCCTGGGCTGCAAAAGACACGCCCCATGCGCGGATACATACAAGGAGATCGGGCCCTGGTGGTAGACGGCCGTGTCGAGGGTGAAGGAGAACGTATCGCCAGGCTTGACGTCGATCACGGAGGTTTGGGTTCCGGAGGCACCTCCGACGTTACAACGGAGATCGGGCGAGGCAAGATCTGCGACCTGCGTCAACGGTGCCACGGTCTTCAAGGGAGCTCACCAAAGACGGCGAGAGACCTCTCATTACCAGTGACGGGATGGTTTTGATTGGTGTTCTGTCGGATTCCCTCATAGACACCATATTTGGTGGAACCAACAGCGAATTGCTGGAAGATATAATGGCCAGACGCCTGCGACACGGCCAGGCCGACGACGGCAGCAATGGAGGAAAGCTTCATGGTGCTTTTGGGGGCAGCGAAGTTTGCGGTATGTGGATTGCGAAGCAGGAAATGGAGCGATGGGAGAGGATTCACAATCCGTAGTTGAACCTGGTATCTTTATATAAACAGAACAACCTTCTCGACAAGTGACCTTGCACAGCAAATGCGATGGTGGCGGAAATCATTGCCGACATGGCCAAGGCCGTTCCCCATACTTATCTCATTCCATTCATAGATTAACGCTGTGATCTCCCCACACGGAGGGGGGGGGGGAGGGGTCCTCATGATGAGACTGGCGCATATTGCAATACTATGGCTAAAGACCACGACGGGTGTCACCCGGCCGGAGCCTGGCTCCCGTACACAGCACAAAACTGCCACATGCGGCAGGACACGAGAAGAGCGCCCCCCCTCGACGGGGATTGCCCTGCACTGCCAACTGACATCAGGCATGCCAAGTGCTATGTCTTGCAGGTCGATGTTTCAACAAGATACTTGCAACCGAACCTAAGGTTGCACTGCGTCAGTGACCAAGACGGAGGCAATAGCAATCAGCATCGTATGAGTGGACGACGACCTGTGATTTATATTGCCTACCAGAAGGAGCGCGAGCTGGGACTCGACTGAGTAGAATGTGAGAGCATGAACCGTCCTTTCGGCCGGGTTATTGTCTGGATACCGGCCCGACACTGGGGATCAACAGAGTCGCAAGCCAAACATGTCGAAGGATGATGCTTTACCGTGGCGGAGGCCGGCAAGGAGTCAACGAACGCCAGGCTGTCACTGTGCACACGCTCTATACGGACCTGCCGATCTTCGAAAAGCCGTCAGCTTAATGTAAAAACAACGCGTGTGATGCAAGCCGTGCCTTGGATTAATGGTTCCCATTCATGAAGCGTTACAGTGATTACCAACTCCCACAAACGCCGGTGCCGTCTTATCCACACATAGTATGACTTTCTCTTTTGTCAGCCTCAATGCCTTTTTCTCTCCTGTCGCCGTTTGTTCGTCTCCTCCGTCCACGCGTCCTCGAAGAGAGCAGGTCGCTCGGAAATATCGCCTGACTGAAGGGCTAGACGACGCACAACATGGAAAGCACCAGTTCCGACGGTCATGGTCTGGCCCATGATGATGCATTCACTGACGCCTTCAATCTTGTCCGTCTTCATGCCCGCAGCGGCGTCAAAGAGATGATCAGGCGTCTTCTCGAACGAAGCCAGCTGGAGAACACTGTCTCTCATCTTGGAAAGTCCGAATCGTGTGATACCGAGGACCTCGCCCTTGTACGTCATAACGTCGGCCAGGAGCTGCATATGCCGAGGATCAATGTCCATGTCACCCATGACCTCGCCAATCTCATGCGCAATGGTGCTTCTTGCTGCTTCAATGCCCAGGATATCTCGAGCTTCCATGACGTTGTTGGTTGAGGTCTTGGTGCCGTCAACACCTTCGGTGTTCATGCAGGCGCGCAGACCATAGCCTTCGACTAAGACGGTGTGAGTATCGTGCTCCGACGTCTGAATGATCGCTCGCGTCGCGTCCGGATAACCTGAAATGGCAACGAACGGGACTAGACGGCGGAGATAATTGGCGCGAACCAGCAAGTCCGCCTGTTCTTCTGAGCCCTTGGCCTTGGTTCTCTTAGCGGCGGCGTTCTCGTCAACTCGCACCCTGATCTCGATCCTGCTCTGGCCGATGTGCAAATCGCCGCGCTGAACTTTGAGCTTTCTGTGCCTGCAAATCGCCTCGGCTACGTCGTGAATGCCAATGCCCAGTTGCATGTCTGACAAGGCATCCATGTCGATTTGCAGAACGACGTTGCCAGCATTGGCCATCCACTCATCCTCGATGTAACTCAGAATGTCGGAGACATACGTCTTCTCAATTCGGGCCTTGACGATCCGTGCCGCCCTCATCTCTTTGTTCTGCACGAGCGGGCATTTGATGACCGGCGTACTAATGAGTTTAGACGCGTTGATGATTTCCTTGATACGCGGCACACCCTGAGTAATACTCATACCGGCGACACCTGCGAAATGGAACGTCTTCAGTGTCATTTGTGTGCCTGGCTCACCAATAGACTGAGCGCCAACAGCTCCGACAGCGTGGCCAGGCTCAACGTGAGCTTTCTTGTACTTTTCGAGACATAACTTGATAAATAGTTTCAAAGTGTTCTCCGACACCTTGGCGACACGGTCTGCGTAGGCTTTCTTTGCCTTTTGCTCCTCGTCGATCAAATCGATCTCCATGTGCGCGCCGAGAGGGTCGGATGTCAAGCCGGTGAGTTGCAGAATCCTAGTCAACTTGGCTGCGCGGCCCGCGACGTATTGCTCGACTGATCTCAAGAAGTCTCTTGCACCCTCGTGCTCATCTGTGTAGCGATCTTCTGTGTTGTCATACTCAAGGTATCCCTGCCCCACCAGATCGCGTCTGGGGTAGCGAGAGCGCTCATGAGATAACATGCTGTCGCAGAAGCTAAGAATCTCGTTCGGCAGCAGTGCAGGGTCGGTATTGCTCCATGTCAAGTTCTCGGCATGCGACCACGTTCGATCGAAGTGAACCGGCTTTGCCGAACCCTCCATGTCGACGGGATCAAGCTTATCCGCACCAAATTGGAACTGAACAATACCTCCACCGGAAGTTCGCACCGTATCATCGTATCTTGTGGAAAGATCCTCGAGCGACTTCATTAACCTACGGGACATGTATCCCGTTTCAGCCGTTTTGACGGCTGTATCGACGAGACCTTCACGTCCGGACATGGCGTGAAATATGAACTCAGTGGGCAAGAGTCCAGAATAGAAGCTGTTTCCCACGAATCCCTTGGAGGGAGGCTGGGGTGCGTTCTTGTGAAAGTGAGGCAGGGATCGGTCCTGGAAGCCATCCGCCACACGGGAGCCGCCGATAATTTGTTGGCCGACGACAGCCACCATCTGAGCCACGTTGATCTCACTACCTTTGGACCCAGACTTGGCCATGACCAGAGGGGCGTTGTTCCGGCTGAGAGTCTGAATACATTGAGCTCCTGCTTGGGTTCGGACTTTGCTCAGCAGGCCCGAAATGGAATTTTCAAGCGTCTGTTCCATGTTGCAGCCCGTGGCCTTCTCGAGTTTCCCCTTCTTGTAAGTGTTGATCAGCTCATCAACCTGAATGTTTGCGTCTTCAATCAACTTCTTCTTCTTCACCAATAGCTGTTCAGTGGGGAAGACGTCGCCTACACCAATCGAGAAACCTCGATTGGTCAGTTGCCTAGCACACAGCTTGGCCAAGCGGTTCATGGCGGTGACGGCCTCATCGGGACCGAAATCTCGGAGGATGACATAGAACACGGAGTCCTTCTTTCCACCTCCGACTGTCGACTTATCCATCCTGCCGCACATGACCTCGGAGTTGCGAATCACCAGCCAGGCATCTTCCGGGTCCATGTCAGGACACTGCCCGGGCTTAGCCTTGTACTCTCGACACTTCGCGTCAAGGTTGATCTTGACTTGACACTCCTTGTTCGGTCGTAGCATCATGCTGAAGACCTGCTTGCCGGTCCATAGTGCTTGCGGCTTGAGAATCGCTGGCGGCGGAAGGTCAAGATGTGTGATGCCGTCCATCATATGCATGACAATGTACGTAAAGGTTTTGCGGTCGAAGAACCTATCCTTGCCACTCAGCAAGTAAGCCGCTGTGATGAAATCCTGCGTCGCCGCAATGATGGGTTCTCCGTTCTTCGGGGTCGCAAGGTTGTGCTTGACACCCATCAGGTTGATGGCCTCTGCACGAGCCTCTTCAGTCTGAGGAACATGGAGGTTCATTTCGTCGCCGTCAAAATCGGCATTGTATGGCGTGCAAACACACTCGTTCAGACGGAAGGTTCGCCAGGGTCGGACCTTAACCAAGTGACTCATGATACTGAGTTTGTGGAGCGAAGGCTGTCGATTGAAGAGTACGATGTCGTTGTCCTCAATGTGACGCTCAACCACGTCGCCGACTTTCAGATCGCGAGCCACTTGTCCCCTGTTGCCGAATTTGAGTGATATCTTGTAGCCACCCTCATCGCTCTTGATGACTTGCTGCGCACCAGGCCAGACATCTGGGCCATTCTGAACACATTTTCGAAGTTTCTTCAGGCTGTAATCATTCACCCTTTCCGGATACGTGAGGTTTTTGGCGACAAGAATTGGGATGGCGACCTGCGTGATACCAAGGTTCGGGTCTGGTGAGATGACGGTTCTGCCAGAAAAGTCTACACGCTTGCCGGACAAATTGCCTCGGAAACGGCCTTGTTTGCCCTTCAGTCTTTGACAAAAACCGCGCACCGTCTTGCCAAAACCTGGTTGCTGGAGACCCGGCACATCGCTGTTGACGTACATGGCAATTTGCAGCTGCAAGTACTCCCATTGCTCCATGATGGTCTGGACAGGGGAGCCTTTCTGAAGAGCAAGTCGAATCATGCCACTGATCCATACGATATCGGCAAGTTTGGTGGTCAAGTCGTCTTCCGTGCTTGCGTTATCCTGAGCGACGGAGGGTCGAATGCAGACGGGAGGAGCGGGCAAGAACTGCCAGATGAACATTTCAGGGCGTCCTTCGACAGGGTCCAGGCCGAGCAGCTCGCAATCCGTAGGGCTAATGGTCTTGAAAAGGTTGAGGACCCTGAGCGGGTTCAGGTCTTCCATGGCCTTGCGAAGATGCTTGTCGAGGTCTGGGTTCTGCTTTTTCGCCTCATCGAAAGACGCATCAAAGACAATCTTGCTTTCCGGCGGGACTTTCTTCATTGATGTCGACTTGTTGTAGGCAACAAACTTATCGTGAACTAGTTTGAGCACGCCGACCTTCCGAATCTGACCGTTTATGGATCCGCAGTAGTGGCATGTTTTCGTCTTCCTGCATTGCTCGTTGATCTTCTTGCAGATTTGCGTGCGACGGAGGTTGTCAATAAACGGCCGCCTCAGCTCCTTTAGGAAAGCTCGGCGCTCGGGTTCGGTCAACAGTATACGGCTGCAGTCCTGGAGAATTTCAGTCAGACTTGGAATTGGAGTGAGGAAGGGGGTCTGGCAAGAGGCGGCCTTACTTTGCAAATGTCCTGCAGAATGGTCCTGACGAAGCCGAGATAGCCAATGTGAAAGGCAGGCAGGGGCAGTCTGACATGGCCAAAGTGACCGGTACAATTCTGTAGTGATTCCTGGCATGTGTCGCACTTGCCAATCTTGCTAGAGGTTCCCTGCACATTTAGTCAGTCAGCGGTTGCCCATCGCATGCGGCCCAGTGATGGCGCATTGTGAGTGGGAGAAAGCTCACCAAACGCGGGTCTAGCGGTCCATGTTGGAAAGGGGCTCTGTTGTTGTCGACATCGTAGAGAAGACGGTCGGAAACTTCCAGGACGGCCTGGTTGGCAATGTCCTGGTTGGATCTATCGCTACGGTCAGCTGGCGATGATGCGAAGAGGGGTGGTGGGAGTCATACTGGATGCCAAACTTGATGCCCTGGAACCGCTTGGGCAGATTGTCCACCAGCTGGGACTTCACAGGGGCAAGTGTCGCGGTAGCCATGGTACAGACGTTCCAAGGTGTGTGTAGCAGCAGTTGTCGCGGGCAGAGGACGGATGCCGTAGGCTGAGTGAGTTGGGTTTGCGGTCGCTAGCGCAATGCGCCTGTCTACCGATCTGTGGCGGACTTGGGGATGCGAGTGGGTGGCTCGGGCATGACGTATCCCTCAGGCACAGAACAAAGTCGTCACTCGGGGCCAATGTGATTGTTCGGCTCTCTATGTCTGCCAGAGAGATATTCGGTGCGTTGCTGACTGACTGGTTGTCGTCGTGTGGTGGACTGTCGCAAATCGTTGATGGGGGAAATTTTGACACGGCGGGTGGGGTGAAAGGCTTCAGAGGAAACATCGCGACGGGAAGAGCTCGTGCCCCACCAGCCAACCTAGTCCCCGTGCGTGTGTGGTGGATGATGGCGCTGACATGGGTGGGCGTCGACAGACAGGGACAGCTCAGGTACATGCATGTCATGTTGATCAGTCCAACCTGAGAGTTCTTTTGTTCTTCATTCTCGAAGTCCCGCTTCAATTGATCATCAGAGGGTTGACCACACTCGAAGCTTCTCACTCTGTCGCTTTTGCGTACAGGATAGGGCCCAATATGCTCCTGCATGGTTATTGCTGCTTGTCAGTGTTTCTTTCGTTGTGCATGTTCATGCAAGTGTAGATTCAATTTCAGTACGTTTGCAGCTTCTCGAGTTTCATGGCTCTCAAGACAATTACATGCTTGACAGGTGAACGGGTGGGTAGTCATTCCAGGTAGGTGCCTAAGGTACTTCTCCGTTGTAGGTAGGTACCTACCTCAGGTGCAATCGACATTGCTGCTCTTCTTTTGCCCCAGACTCCTTGCACGTCACGCGCCTCGCTCCTCCCTACCGCCTGGCTAAAGGCATTGCACGTAAAGTACCTATGTAGGGAGGTACCTAGGTAAGCAAGCACCTAACACAGAGGGAGGGTGGCATGCCAGGGACATGACCCAAGCAGACGGCCCCCTCTCCCGGATGGTGGGGGTGGTGCCAGCGGCCCTGAAGCCACGTCCTGCCCTCCAACGGGATCCTATCACATGCCCACATGGCGCTTGACGTCAGGGGATCAAGGCACTCCCATACCTATTGATGCCTTGTGATAAAGCCCACGACACACCAACCTCACCAACTTGGTCATTGAGCGCGACTGAGGCATCTTCGGCCATCGTTCACGGTCCCTTCATTCGGCTCCCCGTTACGCCGCGTGGCGCCTGTCTGTTCCACCTTGTCTGGCGGGTTTTCATACCGCAGCCACGTTGGCGCTGTTGTTGACGTTGCGTCGGCGACCGAGGGGACGGCATCTTCCCTGGCTTCGATCCGCAGCTTCACGGTGCCTCGGCTCTCCCCTCCGGGACTCACTTGCTGCATGGCCCTCAGGAATAGCAACCACCATGGCCCCTGGTGGTGCCGACAAGAGACTTGAGAAGTCATACCTCTCCTCTGCAGTCGATTCCATCAACCCTTGGGCCGTCAACAGCCGCAGCACAACTCCCACACCCAAGGACATTCCTGTCCAGCAGCAGCTCGTCAAAGGCACAGGATCGGCCGCTGGCGACCACAGCACTACCCATCTATACGGCTGCAGCGCGAAGAGCTATCCCTTGGATTGCCCCCCTCTGCAAGTCCTCTGGTTCCATGCCGTTGACGTGCGTCGATTCTCCTCCGTAGCCGCCTCATGTGTTCGAATATTAATTGTCGAGAAACTCTCCAGATACCCAAGAGAAAGGCCAGATATGCCTCATCTAAGCCCGCCGACGATTCCAAACCACCCCACCAGCCCAAGAAATACGTCCAGTTCTCTTCTTCTGACTCGCGAGCCATCGAAGCTGCCTACCAGGCTCTACTCGAAAAGAGCGAGCACAGTTCAACAAAATCGGGCTCGCAAAGCTCGTCTCCGAGCCCAAAGAAGCCAGAAAATATACTCCGTGAAGCCCACTCAGACACTTCGACAGGTGCATCCGCTGAAAAATTGCCCAAGACTACGACAAACGTGCCCGTCAACGAAGACTACTTGTTTGACGTAAACATTGAGCAGAGAGAGCTTTCGCCAGTGTACTGGATTGGCCCCGTGTATGATGTTCGACGTGGGACGTGGTTCTACCAGGAAGGCTCAACGCTTCGTCCGTGTGAGGAGAACTTGGCGTCTCAACTGGAAGATGGCTTCCTCAAAATCAAGCCCTGGCTTTATCCTAAGCCCAAAGTGGCTCAAGATGACAAAAAGAAGGAAACCGTTAGCATACCGTCGACGGCGGTTTCTGGCGACGCATCCATAGGCTCCGCAAAGTCCGATGTGCCTGCGACGTCTGCGCAGGCGCCCATTCCTGGCCCCCTGGGTCAACCTCAGTCACATAGGTTGTTCGGCACTCACATGAACAGTATCGCCACATACCAAGACTCGAGCACGGCATGGTTGTCCTCCGACACTATGCTGTCATGGGTCACATCTACCATGTATGAGCGATTCTCTGGTGGTGGTTACATGAGCGGTGTTAAACTAGTCCGCGGTTGGTCAGATCTCACCAAGAATGCCGAGACAAAGAGCACGGCGGACCAGCGGCCAGCGAAGCAGACAAGCACCGAGACATCTGTAGATCTGGACGAGAAAGAACAACGCAGACTCAAGAGAAGATCAGCCCCGCCGTCCACTGATCCCGGTCGGCGCGATACAGAAACCGGTGAAAGTCGCAATGATCAGCAGTTCAGAGAGACTCACCTCCAAAGGCAACTGTCATCGCTGATGGGGGACACCGGCAACGCTGAAGAGAAAGAAGAGGCCATGAGACGACAGGCTGAACAGGAAATACAAGACGATTACACTGGCCTCGCCGATGAAACCCAAGGTCGCGACATCGAACACTTGTGTTTGGGGACGCATGGGAAAGGCCAGCTTTTTGGGAAATGAAGTTTGTCATTTCCAGCAATCATCTGAGTGATTTCTTTGCAGAACGACTAACGACTGGGCGATAGGGATGGAAAGCTTTAAACTTTGTTCACGACGTCAATGTCATGCGCAAGGTCATGAAAACAACGTATGCTAATTCGGTAGATCTTCGCGCTCTCAATGGAGAGCTTGGTGACGGGTTCAAGAACTGCCGGGTTCAAGTCCTACCAGTCTGCTGGAGACATTTGCTAGATTTCCCCAAGAAGCGCGAAAAGAAGGGCGAACGCGATCTGGCTGATGCAAGCAAGGAGGAAGATGAGTGTACGTCTGACTTTGGTTTCTGAACCCACGCTCTGTGTACTGATGACTGGTAGATCCCTCACTTGACGATATCACAATCGAGGGTGTGCTTTTGCGCGATCCCTCATTTCTGACTGACTTGACGTCTGGCTCTAACAGAGCGCATATCGGGA